TTTTTTTGTGAAAATGCACTCAGATGAGCGAACACTGATTAGTACGCATATACTAGTCAACAGCACGCTTATATCATTGCTAATCTAATAAAAATCAAATCCTACTTGTTGAATATTGTCACGACCTTCAAAATAAACACTTTGATTTTATCAGAAAGTGATCTGAACGTCTTTCATGTTTAAACACATAACTTCTTTAACATCTAGCTATTGATCACTATCCCCTTTTCCATTCTTGTCATTACCAGCTATTAATGTTGAACAATACGCAAACAATGACACTTTTACCGTTGTACACTGTTTTTGTGGTTTTAATCAGTTAATTAGAAAGCGACAATCTGAAAATAGTCGATGATCGGAAAAACAAGAGAATTTCTTACATTTTGTTTATATTTTTCAATTTATGAACGTTTGTTCACCGTTCTTACATCGTTTGACGAGATTAACAATTCTAACAGATGTTTAATTCTTTCCAATTCAGAGTCTTTCAAATTTCCATTGTAAGAAGTTATTGGAATTGCATTTCCATAGTTTCTCTGATACGTTGTAGGAGTATCATCGACTGTCAAAGTGTTGAGTCGATTATACGTGTTAATTGAATTAAGATTTTGAGATTCACTTCTTTTTCTTCTCCATACTTTCCTCAAGCTTTTAATTGTCACAGGTATTCCGTATATGTCTAACAAGCGTTGTTGATATCTTCTTGTACATCTTATTGATGTCCAAATAAACTTTATTTTTGATCGCAAGGGATCTAGAATAATGTAGGTTAGTACAGAATGAACACATTCTGAACCCAACACTGACCATATGCCAATATCATAATATTCAAAACACCATTCGAGAAATTCGTCAATAACCGGTCGTTTCCATACTAAAATCGAGCCATCATCTAACTCAAAATGATGCTGTTGTTCAACTTGCATATCGATGACATTTGCTTTTTCTTCCGCAAAGAGGGTGTGGGTGGGTATGGGTGTTCTTTTCTTAACCAACATCCACACCCACACCCCACACCCACACCCCACACCCACACCCACACGCACCCACACCCACCCCACACCCAGACCCACCCACACCCACACCCACCCCACACCCACACCCACACCCTCGAAAGTCGATGAATACAATATTACTCCCTTTTGTGATTCGCACGTGTTTTTTCTTTCTCGCTGCTTATCGAAAAGATATATACATGGGTGTATATTTGTTCTTTCAACGGCCTTATCAGTATTTTTTATAGTTCTCTGCAAAACGACCAACATTAACTATGCATTTTTATTGCGTCGTATCGATTACGACGAAACAATTTTTGCAGTATAAAAACGAAGGTAACTGTTGACACTAGTATAAGAACTTCATTACTTCTGCCACTACAATAGATCCTTTCTTGTGTTTTACCGCAACAATTCGATTATTTTGTTACCAATTACTTATTTTCTATTGTGTAAGATTAATTTCAGAAAAGTAAAAAGTATCTAATCTATTTTCTCTTACGCGTATTTCAGTATGATCATAGCAAAAAAAAGAAATTATTACGCCATCACTATTTCCATTGGACACTGTTTTTAAATAAAATTTGTTATAGAAAATATAAAATCTTGTGATTGACATTATCACTATGGTTTACGATGTTTCAATAGATGAAATATAGAGAAGACTGAACTTGTATCAAGGGAATTTGATTTGATAAGAAGCATATTTATGTTTCGAACAGAATGGAGATTTTAGCAAAATTAAACAAAATTTTTTAACAATTTAAGTTTAATAAAATGAAAAACAATGAAAATAAAGAACTAATATTATATATTCATAACAAGCTATGTTCAGCCTTAATTGAAGTATAGTTAATTCTAGGAAGTTATAGAGTTCAAGAGTATTCTGAATTGAAATTTATTTTGCCTTAGCAAGCTTCGGCCGAAAGAAGAAAGCACCTTGTTGCCTATTCTTTTACTAGTATTTTTTTATCGATGCTTATTTGCCTTCCAATTTTATATTAGTCATAGATCATATGTAAAATACGAACATACAATGCTGTTAAGCTTCGTCCAATCATTTTTCGACAAAAAAAAACGAAGTATATCATAGCTTATGTATTCCCTGTAGTAGAATGATAACTGCTTTCTCTTATAATTTAGTATTTGAAAAATTCAAAATATTATTTCATCTGTTTATAAAGATATTTTGTAAACTCATTTTCTGTTATCGCGCCGCAAAAGTCATCCGTGCGTCGATTACAGTATGAAAAGGTGAAACAGAGTACTACCTAATAGAAAAACCTACAGTCACATACTATGTTCTCTTAATGTAAATGAGACTTGAAATATATTTTTCAATGAAATAAAACTATGAACTACGTAGTTTTGTGGCTAATTAAAAACTAAATCTGACAATATTCATTTTTATTTAATATACAATTTTTCCTGCAACATCTATGCAATGATATTGTTCACTTAGATAACAAAGCACTCGTAGTTTCAGTACAAACAAGGCACTCTCTAGTCTAGTGGAGTTCGCAAAAAAAGAGGTTCTCTGGAATATATCCTCATCAGAAGTGAATTGAATAGATGGTATCTGTACTTTCTTGACCCATTTATATAAATGGCAAAAATGATATAGAATATATTTTTGCTTTCATCTTATGACATCAAAAACGAAAGCAACTATGATTCTAGATACATGAAGATGTGAGTCCAGATAAAAAAATATAACAACAGTTTAGAACAACACTGAAGGTAAAAAAATCGACATTATTCCGTTACAGCTGTTTGTGGATCTGACGAGATTCATGACGTTGTTCTTCATTTTTGTTACTTGAATACTTATGCTTTTGTGAGGTATCTTTTTTCTAATCGTTAGTCTTCTAATGATGCCTAGGAGTTATATTAAATTTCTTGAAAAAGTCTTATGAATCAATGCGTTTCGAAAGTTTCCTGGAAATTCAATTAAACATCAGCACAACAGATTTAGAGATATACAGGTGGCGGATGTGGGGCAACAGGAGAGATGGAGGCGATAGCGATGGTAGGAAAGGTAGGGGAGATATCGAAGATATCGGGAATATAGAAGATGTAGAGATCTAAGAGGTAAAGCATATGGACAGTCATATGATCTCTGAGCTCTTTCGTAGCATTCAAATAGAGCGATGTGCCCTCCTCAATCCTTCCGTAGCATCCAAACTTGCGTTTCAATACATTCTTTACACCCTAACATTTTGATTCGATGAAATCCTATATCTCCTATACCTACCTTACCTCCGCTACCTCCCGTATGTTTATACTTCTATATCTATTATGCTAGTGTTTAACCCTTTGGGGACGGTGGTACAATCCTTGTACTACCTGTTTTTTCAATAAAGAAAAAATTGTTTACCTTCAATAAAACGCTAGGTTTGGGAGGTCATAAAGGTATGGTGTGGGTGTTAAGTGAGGGTGTGACTATCCCTTTCGAGATGGAACTTTTTTCAATCACAAAGTCTTTTTTTTTGATGAATTTATTTTATTTGACTCAAATGATTATATAAAATCGTTATGGTAATCAAAAAAAAACAATCTTTCTCATCTTATACACAGAATACTAAATCGCAAGTGTAACATTCGATGCTAGATCTAACTTGTAGTTCTTTTCGGGTGCGGGTGTAAATGTGGATCTGCGTGTCTAGGTGGAATGTTCATGAGGTGATAAGACACACTCAAACTAACATTCACAACTACACCCCACACTCACACCTGAGCCAACACCTATAGCCACACCCCCACTCAACACCTACACCCACACCATACCTTTATGACCTCCCAAACCTAACGTTTTATTGAAAGACAATTTTTACTTTATTGAAAAAACAGATGGTACAAGGGTTATACCACCGTCCTCAAAGGGTTAATCAGTTCAATCAAGTGAAATTTATTAATATTTTCAGATTCATTTAAAATCGTGATGCTTTGTATATTATAGCTCAAATGATAAAATCACTTTTATTACTGATACTATTTATAATCGTCATCAAAGCTAGTCTATTTTCTGGTAGTATTAACACGAATGCTACAACGGAAATCAATCAATTACCAAATGCAATTATTCGCATAGCAAATGTGTTTGAAGAAATATCTAATACATTTCCAAACGAAACACGTGAATCATTTCTCCTATTTACGTCAGAATTGAAAATACTACCTGATGGAACAACTGAAAATTTGAAAACATTTCATGATGCATTAACAAATTTCTTAAATAAATTAGACGTATTTCTAAATAGAGATGTAATTCTACCGTTTCATCAAGTATTAATCGAGCTAAATGATAATATCTTTCAAATTATTCTTGCAAATACAGTTGATGCAGTTGATAGTAATAATAGTGTAAATGAACAAATAAGAGTTGAAACTCGTCAAACATTACGTTTATTTATTCAACAGCTAGAACCATTTATTCAAGCATTAGGTAATGAATATAAAGATTTGAAACAAATGATTCGCACTGTCCTAGGATTATACACAAATACAAAACGACTTTACATATCATTGGTTTCTCTTATAGCAATGATTGGAACCAGTTTCTATCTCTATTATGAAAATCATTCTCAACTAAGTTTTAGTCCAGAAAATCAAAATTGGAATACTGTCCTATTGACAATATCGATAATATTTCCTTGCTTGATTTGGGTGTTAAGCATACTTATGTATGATCCATTTTATGAATCAAAATTAATAGCTCTGGTTATTTCAGCTATTTTCTGTTTTACTCTGCTATGTTCACGGATAGTTTTTGTTTTATTGGCTGGAAGGCAAAGATTCTTCATTGACTCAGTGTTGGTTTTATTTATATCTTTGATACTATTTGTTTGTCGTAGTTATTCCCCACTCTGTGCAGTGGTCACTTGGCCATATATTTATCATGGTGATCACACATACTATTATATTCCTCAAACATCGAATTGGATTCGAGAAATTTGTCCAAATATAAATCAACAACGATGTCCACTTGTCGATTTAAAACTTCTTGATAAAAATGAAAACGATGAAATGTTTCTTGTTGGCAAAACATTAGAACTTTTAAAAACATTAAAAGGTCCAATATTTATTCATAGCGAAATTGGAGATAAAGATACTGGAAAAAGTATTCGTCAAACAATTTTAACTCGATTACTTGTTAAATATAAATATCGTCGATTATGTTCAAATAATGGTATTCGATTTCTTGTCAGAGATGTTAGAATCGATCATGTTAAAGGTATTGCCGGTGTTACTAGAGGAATCCATCTTATGATCATTCCATCTCAATGGATTGATTACGATCACTTACCATATCTTCTTAAAGATTCAGTGGGACGTATTCGAAGAGAAAAGGGAACTTTATTAATTCTCGATATGGAAGGAGGAAATGAAGTAGGCGGAGCGGAAATGAAAACTATACGTATATTACAATTGTTAACAATGGCTATTAGTACTCATGTTAATATTGCCATTAAAGAACATATCAGTCAAGTAAATATAAAAGAAATGGCAACTTATTCACAATTATTCAACATGCTGAAAATTGCATCGGAGAGCAAATGTAATCGAGAAGAAACGAGTATCGAACCAGCAAACCTAGATAAATCGTCACTATTTACATTACCATCAATTTCAGTTTTACCAAAAAGTACAACAAATCTAATACCACTGATTAAAGGAATTAATATTACATGGCAAGGTAATAATGCTTTTGTCAAACATATACAAGACAAAAATTCTGATAAGGATGAACCGTATCTCGATTTAACCGACATATTTTGGTCAAGTTTGACTGCAGTTAAACATTCAAATTTCAAATCTGATGCTGATGCAATTGGTTTACATTTTAAAAATCTTCATTATCTTATTAATTTTCCACCTTATCCAATGGCAAGAGGATTTTTTTCATATCCAGATGAATTAGATATTTATAAAAACAGTAAAAGTATTGATTTGCCAGATGTATGGAATCGATATGATAATTGGTATGGACATTGGTTTCTACCAGAAATGATGAAGCCATACTTTGGTTTAACATATAGCTTAGCTCACTATGTTTTTCCATCAATTTTCTATCGTATGTCATCAAGACAATCATCAAATCAGGAAACATCTGGAGTTCAATATGTTAAATTCATCGAAGATCTATTTCGCTCATTAAAAGGTTTCGATGGAATTTTATTGGAATCACTTGGTATAAATCAATTAGAACAAAATATATGTAATTCTATAACAAAGATTATTAATGGATGGAAAGAAAACGATATTAAACAATTTAAACACTTATTTCCTATAGAAGGAAAAACTCCGTGTGAATCCAAACAATTATGTAATGCAACTTTTGACCAAAAATGGGAAGAATTGAAAAATAGTCTGTATCGAAGTTTGTGCATTTCACAAATCTATCTTAATAAATTACAATGGAGCAAATGTCAAAAATCTCATGTTGACGAGATAATTGAAGAGCAATACAAAGATTTGAAAAAAGAAAACAATGAAAAATGCTCATATTCATGGAAAACAGATGAATGGAGTGAAGAATGCATTATAAATAATTGTCCAGGTTATCGTACTCGTTCAGTATATTGTGTCAATTTAAATGAAGCGAAGAGACCCGATAATTGTTGTAATTTTTTTCTCGGTTTTGACAGCAAGCCATCTTCAAAGAAATCGTGTGATTTTAAGGCAGCGAAATGGTCACCAACTGGTTGGAGTGATTGTTCAAAGACAAAATGTGGTATGAGAACTCGTCGGGTCATTTGCAAATGGTGTAATGGAGCTGAGACAAAGGATGAAGAATGTCTAAAAAGTGAGTCGAAACCGGCTACATCAGAGCAATGTAATTCGCATTATGAGTGGAAATCCAAAGAGCCTTATTCATGCCCGTGTAATACAATACAACATAAGGAGATTTGGTGTGAAAAATGTGGCAGTAGAGTTAGCAATGTTGCCGTAGCCGATTGCGAAAAACTAGCAGATAATATTCGTCCACCGGATACCATGCAATGTCCTGTATGTTCGCCACCGGATTCTTCTTGTTTTTCTGGTCAAACATTGATTATAATGCATGATAAGAAACAAAAACCAATAAGTCAAGTTAGACCAGGTGATTATGTTCTAACACCAGTTTATCATATGTTTCATTCTCGATTAAGTTTAATTCCACAAGTACACGGTATTGCTCGAGTTGCATTTGTTGAACAAAGAAACCTTGGCCAACGTTCATTGTATGGTATCAATAATATTGAACCATTTTTTACATCCGAACATATATTTCTGACGCCAAATGGGCAAGCAGTTGCTATCTCACCGATGGCGATGTCCATTGAAGATCCGAGTTGGACAATCGATGATGTTGGACAAATGAAGGTCAATGAAACGATCTTATTTAATATATTCAATAATGAAACAATGATTAATAATATAACTTTAAAGTCCAGTAAATCTCTCGACAGCAACATTGTTTACAGTTTAATATTAGATTCTATTCATCAATTCTATGCAAATGGATTTTTAGTATCTGATCTATTTCCACAACTACATAAATTTCCGTTTACGTTTATTTTATTTCATTGGCTTTGGCGAGAAAAATCCATTGATATAAATCGGTATTTAAACGAATCATATCCCAATCATCTGAAATCGTTTTCAACAGATGACATTCATCATTATGAACGTTTAAAAGTCTTTCAAACAAAAATTGGCTCTTTTATTGATGAATTTATTTTCAATCAAACAAAAAAGAAATTTTGAATGAATTCATTTTTTTAAGATATACATTCAAAGAGTAAAAAGATAGGATAAACTTAATAAATTATTTTTTTTTTGTTTATCTTAATAGGCACAAGTTTTGATAAGCGTATTCGAGAACTATTTTCCAGAATGATTCTATCGCTAATAGATATATATATATATATATATTGAGGGTGTGGGTGATGGTGCTTGTCGGTATGCATGCAGAGTTTATTCATGCCCACATTCCAAGATCATGCGCACACCCACACCCTTTTCCAATTTAAGTGTTTTCTTACAATCACAATAGTTTAGAAAAAGTTCAATATTACAAAGATATTTTTCATTGAGAATAATGAAATACATCTTTGAAGGTACTAGAGATTCGTGTTCTTTTAGAATGGCGTTTATATTTGTATATAGATGAACTGTTATATGTTCAATTGTTGTTATAGATAAAAAATCTCTTGTTTGTATTTTTGTCTCGTCAAGTTCGCGTATGTTCTTTACAATGACGAAATCGTTGATTAACAGTTTTTTTATATGTTCGTTGATAATTTTGTCTATATCTTGATGTTTTGAATCAGCATTACTATATGGAAGCAGTTGCATTTCGCTTACTTCTTTCCGTTGACCATCTAAATATCCTTCTATTCTAATTTAGATATGTACAAAGAATCCAGGCTGTACACGTTTTGAATAATTTCGGAAAAATTTATTTATTGTAAGTTGTGTAACATCTTTAGAATGTGGATCATCTTGACTTTTACAGGACCAACATTGACAATAATCAGATAGATCATCTAACAGAGAGTGAGGATGAGATTCCGAGTCTAGACGATAAGGATCATTTTGATTAAGACCTATGCTTGTTACTGATGCCATATGAGTCTGAATGTAAGTAAATAGTAGAAAGTGGTAATTTGTTTAGAGAGGTGTCTGATAATTTCTGAAGCAAGATACTTTGCACTTAATTCTTATTGAAACAGACAAATTTGACTACTACTTCAGTAAATGGTCAATATTCCATCAATTCATCACATAGGTGTGGGTATGGAAGTAGCTAAACAAAAGAGTCACACGAACATTCACATCCACACCGATATCCACACCCTCAAAATGAAGCAAAATTATTCGTACTCACCAAAATCAAAGAAAATTATTTAATACTGTCTTTAGGAAAGCTTAAAATTATGAAAAACATCGAAAATTGTTGATGTCAATTCATAAAGAACAAAAACCATGTGATATTATAGTTTATTAAGTTCTACGTACATTTCCCATGTAACCATGAAACGCATTTTAGACGCAGCTAGACACGTATATGTTGCAAATCTTCGGCGTTCTCATGCATTTTTGTATAGAAGCATGACGGAAATGCATCTACGTACATCGACCACTGTGTTACTGGAATGCGTTTACAGGACATTCACAATTTCGGAGCAGGTTTTTAGGCTGAACGCATACAAACACATTTTAACTTGTATTCTGAAACGCGTTAGGATGCATTCGTTCATTTTATGCCTCTGATCATTTTTAACTCTTAAAAGCCGAAGTGGCTTCCGCTTATAAAAATGAAAATCTAATTAGAAAAACAGAGATTATGGACCCTCAGTATACTCGTACTACAGTTAAAAATGATTACCTTCTCCTTATTCTGGACCTACACAACCTCCTTTGGCAGGAATATCCACCCCTGTAATAATTCGAAAAAATAGGAATTTCGATCTGAAACTTTGCCTTTAGATAGTTTTGATAATACTTAATATGCTCCGAAATTTTCACTTAGAACGGATGCTTTCTTGCTGAGATATTCGAAATCCAAAAACCAGCTAAATTTTGCTAAAAATTGCTAAAAACTTCAAAATTCTGTATCTCGCGAAAGAAACAACAGTTGTTCCTGAAAATTTTGAAACTTCCTAAACACTACTAGGGCTATGTATAAGCCAAGTTTCATGTTAGAAATACATTGTTTTGATTCTTCTATGAGGCTGAATGTCTTACCAAAGGAATTTTTTATTGATCACGGCACAATCTGTCAGTAGATCGGTTAAAAGATTCTAGAACGCTAGCATTGAATAGCTTGGTGATAAGCTTAAGAGTGTAACGTAAAATAAACTACACTGTATGTCGCATCTCCGAATAGATACAACTTTAGGGAAGAAAGGTGTTATTGAAAAAAGTCATCAGACCAAAAAGGTGTTTTGCTATGCCTGACAGTCACCTGAATACTACATTTTGGTCTAGGTATGGCCTCGAAAGTCATATCAATCCAGCAAAATATTGGTTTTTGTCTACAACATTTTTATAAGACTTTGATTACAACTATTTAAATGTCCCTTGGAAGGGACATTCGGCTCTTAAGGGTTAATGATTGAAAGAAGCTATCTCTGCCCCATTGAATGCTATGTGATTGATAGGATCGATAAAACGTCTTTTACAGGATGCTTCTGTCAATGCAACGAATTTGCAGCAACGCATTCGGACGCACTGCTTTTTGAAACGCAGTTAAACATATAATAATATAGTTTAGTTAGTGCAAATAAACATCTTTAAAAGGAAGATGCTTCTGTACGAAAATGTGTCTGTGAGTTCAGCGTGCTGTATCTTCGTTGCAAAGTTATTCTGATTGAAGAAAATACAGTATGTCATAATATTAGGTTTAGAAGATAGTAGCTGAAAGCAAAAGATTCCTTTTCTAATTCATTTGGATAAACATATGAGAATTCGATTAACTCATTTGAACAAGGATAAGAAACTGAAGCATATTTCTATAAATGGTTCTTTATGACACATATTTCAAGCAAGATAATTTTTCAGTAATATCTCTTTAAATTTTCAATCGATAATGATTATCTTATTTTCGTTATTTCTGTATGCAGCAATTCAGAATCCTATAAACTGATCTAAGTTTATACTAAGGACCTGATTAGTAGATTCTATACGAAAAACTATCTATTTTTATTGAAATTAGAAAAACTCGATGATATTCTTTTTACTGCCCAGGTATGTATATTTAAACTTCTAAAGAGTGTCCCTGAACGTCTAGAAGCTATGTAACTTAATGGTTTTGAACGTATCCGAAATGCAGCATGTTCGGTGGTCTAAACCCGTTAACACTGAATATATGCGTCTTCCCTCGTTACAATTCTAACAGCATCAAAACACGTTTATATTCAAAGACACCTTTGAACACGTCCAACATGCACCATTTTCGGGCGTGTGAACGCGTTCAAAAACCAAAATGTGGGTAAATTCGTCTATGCTGAAAACAGATTAATATACATTTTCTGGTTACTTTCTACATTACGATACTGTTATGAGATAAACAAGTTTACTCTATTCTCAAAAAAGTCAAATAATAATCATCATCACTTTGTATTAGAATCAAACCGATTTCTAACATTCAGACTACAGTACTATTATTAAAATTTAATCAAGTTGAGTTTGATTTAATAAATTAATTATATGCCTCACTATGCATTTCATAATTGATTGTTATTTCCACATTTTTTATTGAAAATATTTAATTGTTGACCAAAACCATTTATCTTGTTCTACATTGCTTCTAAAATCTAAGGGATGCATCGTACACGGTAGATTATGATTTTAAAGTTTTTATTGTGCCTTTCACCATTACTTTCCTAGCCAAGCAAATAAATCGTATAAATATGTTACTTCTATTTCCAACTATTTCATTTTATCTGAATTTCACAAATACTTTATTCAAGTAGACTTGTTAACTTATTTTTATTGTTTGATATAATGAAACAAGACTGAAAGTAAAAACTTCTAGATTCATTCAATAAAGATAAATATATTTCAGAAATTTACAAAAAAGTACATAGACAAGAATTTTCGCACATATTTTTTTCCTGTAATGTTTTCAATTTTTACGAACATTGAACGTTCAGGTACTACAGGGTTGGAAATAATATTATTCCAGGGAGGTACCGCTATAATTTTAAGCAGAAGACATAATGAATTGTATATCAGATGAAAGCCCGTCAAAAATGGGGTTTATTGATACTAAATAATGAAGATTATGAAAACTTTTTAATATTGAATTTAAGAAATGTATACTATTTTTGGGGTCGAAAATTAAGGTGCCAGCAATTGAAAAACGGAGTAACAGTTTTTCTTGGATATTCTTACATGGTTCGATAGAGCTCGTTGAGCTCTACAAAATTGTATATTTTAAAAAATTTTAAGCCATTTTTTGCGATAAAAAATTCAAAAGTCTACTTGGAAAATCTTAAAAAATGTTATAAAAATTCATATTTTTTATATGGAAGAAAAACACTCGATTTTTCAATAAAATTAGCTTTTTTTATTATTTTTTCTGCGTTAGGCGTTTCGAAATATACTCATTAGGCGCAGTTTTTCATACTGCATCGAATGGGTACATTTCGAAACGTCTGAGGTAGTAGAAATAATGAAAATAACTAATTTTGTTTAAGAACCAAGTGTTTTTCTTCCATATAAAAAAAAGAAGATTTTTAACGTTTTTTGAGATTTTCCAAGTAGTTTTTTGAACTTTTTATCTCAAAAAGATGGCTTACAAAGTTTTTAGTATGTACAGTTTTGTAGAGATCGATGAGCTCTATCGAAACTTATGAAAATATCCAAGAAAAAATTTTTACTCCGTTTTAAAGTTACTGGTACCTTACTTTTCTACGCCAAAAAGGTATACAATTTCTGAAAATGTCTGAAGTTTGATATTAAAAAGTTTTCGTAACCTTTACTATTTAGTATCAATAAATTCCATTTTTGACGGGCTTTCATCTGATATACAATTCATTATGTCTTCTGCTTAAAATTATAGCGGTACCTCCCTGGAATAATATTATTTCCAACCGTGTAGTTGTAAGAAACAAAAATATTATTCAATGCCTTTATACTACATATTTATGTATTTATTTATTACAGAGTTACATGTAGATATTTTCTTTTTTATTCTGTAATTTTAATTTGTTTATAAATATTAAAAATATATTTATCTTGATTTTTCTTCGATCAAT